ACAGTTTTAGACTAACCCTCTGGTATCACTCAAATGTACTACCCTATTTGGCCACTCAGGATAAAAATGTCCACTTTCAAAAACTTGAATGATAAAATGATATGATACAAATATTATATTTAAATATTTTTCCCCCACACTTTTTGGGAAGTGTGGGAACATTTTTTAAATGGACAATTAGGGTAATTTGTACAGTGTATTCGAGACCGATTAGAAAAATTGAAATTCCAAAAAGTATCTAGAAAAAACACAAAATCATTATAGCCAAATCTGATGTGAAAAATTACCAATTTGGACAAAAATGTCCGAGTGATACCAGAGAAGGTTAGGACCTCCAACACAGAACTAAATTAAGCTTGAAAGAAAATGTTTGCATAAATAAGTTATAAAGATATATTCCTGTATGTTCTGTTTGATTATCAACGTTATCTTATTTATTAATTCAGGTATTATTTGTTTACGTCCCTACTTAATAATGTAATTTGTTGTTATTCCTGTAGTTAATTATGCATTTACCTACTTATTTCGATATGTATTTGATTATTTATTCTTTAATAATTTATTTCCTTGATTTATGTGATTATGTAATTATTCCTTTAACAATTTAGTAATTGCTGCATTCACATACCTTTTTAAACATGAATCTATTGATTAATATATTTCAGCATTTATTTATTATTTTATTTATGTATTTATTCAATTATTTATAAGTTCTTACATATGTATTCATGTCCATATTTATTTATTCATTTATAGATGTATTTATATATAAATGTAAATATTTATTTCAGCATTCATTTATTATTTGTATTTATTTCCAGATATATTCATGTTTTAATTCACATTTGTATTTATCAATTGTATTCCTATGTTAATTTATAGATGTATTTATATCTGTATAAATGTATTAATTCACTTTTTTCTATATTTATTTTAACACTTGCCCGATGAAATTACTTCTGTATCTATTTATTATTATTTTTTTATTTCTGTATTTATTCATTCTTACATATATTCATTCCTATATTAATGTATAGATTTATTTATTTCTGCATGTATTTATGATATGTGATAAGATATTTAGATGTAAGCAGGGATAGGGTTGTGTGCCATATAATTTTCTTATTATAAATGTAAGTAATGGTGGTTATAATTGTGGGTAACACTGTTAACCAATACATTGAAAACATATTGTGATAAACATACCTGATACTCCTTAAAAAAAGAGTCTGGATCCTCGTTGAGGTAGATCGCGATGCTTCGCAGGATGCACCCCCTCTTGATGTGGATGTTTTCAAACTAAAGCAGGGGCGATAAATCAAAGACAATTAAGCACAATGCATGTGCAACAGAGCAGGTAGTTTACAACGTAGAGGGCTGTATCTGTCGTGTGTGTCCCTAAGCAGGACTCCTTACACCTACATTTCCACAATAAGCTATTGCCTTAAAAACACTATAAAAGCAGACAATTTCTTAAATGTGTTCATATGATCATGGACAAAAACAATACAGTGAAAAACGAGGTTCTCTGCATTTATACTAACCGAATCTGATATTGCAAGGGCTTCCTTGATTTTGTGCCCCTTCACTCCTCCTTTGGTCTTGAAGATCTTCAAGAGCTTGTCTGAGAAGTGGTCCAGCTGCCACATGAACTTTGATTGAAGTGGTGATGTTGTGATCCTCAAAAACTCCGCATTCACCTTAAAAATATTATTAACAAGCACAATACAACCAATTGTTACTTGTTAATTCTACTGGCTTTGGTGTTAGCTGTTTAGCATGAGTTTTGTATGTGTGATTTAAAAGTTTACTCCATGTGTCAAACGAACATGGGCAATCAGTATATGGACATGGATAGCGACAACTGCCCCTTAAATGTGCATGTGTCTGCCGGAAATGTTTTAACAACAAATACCTGCTAGCTAGTTCCAAACTGCAGTGTTTGCACTGCCACATGCATAACCTGAAAAAGAGAAAAAAGAGAATTAGCAATTGACACTGAACAACTGACAATGTCACAGATCAGCTTATGCAAGTAATGTGAAAGTAGCCGTGTACTTACCATAAATAAGAGGTTGCCCCAAGATGCTTGTTAATGCTGATCAAACTGCAAAAGACAACATAAATATATTAGAGGTGTGATTAAAATGCTTATATATTTGAATTTTCACAGACAACACATAATTGCCTAAGATTGCACAACCCAAAAAAAAAATGATAACAGATCACACTTTAAAATTAAGAGTCTAGTAGACATGTTTTATAAAGCAGGCCTACGTTTCTGCACAACTCTGGGTGCCTGCTTGTGAGTGAGGTAACCCATACAAGATTCACATATATATATTATCTCATTATTTATATTAAATATTTGGCAGTAAAAAACTAAACTCAACTGAACTCCTACAGAAACGAGTGGCTCCGCCTGTCCTCCTCTGCCTGCACTAAGGCCAGGAGAGAGATGGACAGACCTGCTGAGCTTTATGATAGAAAATGGCGGCGCTTACTCTTTGCATTTTTTGGTTGAATTTAAACTGAATTTCGGTGTACTGTGTTCAATGACAATAACGTTAAATCGAATGTAATATAATCTAATGATCTCCATTATCCAGTATTCAATGCTAACCGTATCTAGCAAGCTAGCTAACAAACCAGTTATCCAGCTAGCTAGCTTTACCTCGTGCACTTGAATTACTCTTTGCATTTTTTGGTTGAATTTAAACTGAATTTCGGTGTACTGTGTTCAATGACAATAACGTTAAATCGAATGTAATATAATCTAATGATCTCCATTATCCAGTATTCAATGCTAACCGTATCTAGCAAGCTAGCTAACAAACCAGTTATCCAGCTAGCTAGCTTTACCTCGTGCACTTGAATTACTCTTTGCATTTTTTGGTTGAATTTAAACTGAATTTCGGTGTACTGTGTTCAATGACAATAACGTGACATCTAATTTAATATAATCTAATGATCTCTACTATCCAGTATTCAATGCTAACCATATCTAGCAAGCTAGCTAGCTTGCTGTTTAGACCCAACTAAAAACGGAGCAAAATATAACACGGTGGTTTCAAATATTCTTGTCGATATAATGAAAAGGCATTAGGCCTACTTGGAAACAGGGAACATTCTAAACTACTAGAAAAAACAAATACTTACCAAATAATAGACTTTCCACCGTCAGTTTCACACCGTCAGTGTTAGACAAAAGGCGGCAAATGACAGAACGGATCTTGTGCATGCGCAAAGGTGATGTGCAAAGGGGCGGTCCCAAATGAAAACAATTCATTTTGAGTTGCTCTGTCTTAAATACATTTAATAAGTGAATTGATTAATGTAATTTGTGTTACACTAATGAACTATACTTAGGTTTATTTCTTAAATAAAAATATTTAAGTAAAGTGAAACAATTATTAATGTGTCAAGTCTAAGAAGGGCTTGAATCGTTTTTTTGAGTGTACTGTGCCACCATGGACATACTGTACTGAAGGAGTTCATAAAGGGAAGTACTGCTGCATCAAAGGCTGTTGTGTTGCTGCATCCAGCCCCATTTATTCAGGAAAAATAGAAGTGCTCATTGCTCAGGGGGCTAAATATGGACTTTTACAGAAGAGTACTCATATCATAAGTTGATATTTAAATTGTTTTAGTGTTATCTTGTGCTGAAAATGAAAAGAAACATGACTTAATGTGAAATGGTGCTGTGAAACTATGTATAACATCAGCTGGAAAGGATTAACGTTCATTGAGCAGAATAATCTACACTCAGTTGATATTAATCACAGTCAAGAGAAGCAAGTAGACTTTAAAGGCCTGGTTAGTGTAAGAGAGTTCCTATTCATTTATCACAACAGACAGCTGTAGGATAAGGTCCTCCTATATTTTGGCTAAATGTGTGAATCTACAGGCATGTGTTATTTAAAGCCCGATCTATCATCCCTATAATACCAAATCTATGGGTTTACCAAGCAGCGTCAATGGCCAGATGCATTGACATCCATCAAAGCATGTCAGTTTTGAAATGAGAAAACAAAGGACACACACATACACACCGCACATAGTTACATTTTCTCTTGTGAGCACAGACACACACAAAACATACAAAGCTGCTGACTCAAGAAAACTTGAACGAAGCAAATCATAACACGGCACTCTTTATTCTGCGGACAGACGTTTAACCGGATAAAAATAGAAAAACTCATGAATAAAAATGTTTTCTCTGGACAACTTAAAACTTGAAGTTGAGGGACGAATGTAATGTGTAAATCATAGTGGCGTATACAATATAGAGGATTTCTCATGACATGGGATAAAAAGCAACAACGGGTCGTTTTTCAAATGTCCTTTTTCAGGAAATGCCGACAGGAAGTTGCTCCAATAGAAGAACAATGTGAAAGTGTAGCATAGAACACGTAGTGGTGATTTGTTGAGACTTACTCAGGGTAGTTTTAGAGCAGTGTTTCTCAAACTTTTTCATACCAAGGACCACTTAACCAATACAAAAACACTCGCGGACCACCTAACTCCACTAATATCAAAAAACACATCGTTTCTCTAGAACAGATTACAAATCGCCTGAGAATGGTACAAACAAGTGGCAATTATCATGCAATTAAAAGTGAAACTTAACCTTGCTCCATTGCGGAGATATTCCCGCGAGAGTGCGGAAAACTTAAATGTATTTATTTATTTCAAATGTGAAATGTTACCAATATACTCACGGACCACTAGGGGGTGCTCACGGACCACACTTTGAGAAGCACTGTTTTAGAGGAATGGTCATTAAATCCACTTTTGCTGATATTTATATCTCATATTTGAATGATGAGAAACTGTATTTTGGCTGCATAGATGACATTGTGACTGATAGCGGCACTAGAGGAAAGCTCATGAAGTAAACAGAGTATGGCCTCTGGTTTAAAGGAGTTCATTACATTTCAAGATTTGCTGAAGATCAAACCAAACAAAATATTAGATGAAATGTCAGGCCTCAAACAACCTTATTTTCTGGAGAACAAACATACTTTATTCAAATGCAATCTGTCCAATAGCTGTTGAGGTGTCTTGCAGTTGACCAGCTGTAGGCAGGGAACATGTTCTCATGCTAGTACTGAGTTACAGGTTTTCACTTCATCTCTCTTTACAGCTTATCATGCACGTTTAGCAACAAATCCACCCATCAGTTGTCCCAAAATCCTCAACATGTGTTGTTTTACCCCCAGGGGTGACTCAAGTCAACAGCACACACACAGGATGGTGTGCATAGTGTGACTATCAGTCATGTTTTTCAGTTAGTAACACCATGTCAAATCATATTAACGACAACTGTTAAACGAATAAAACATGCTGAATTAGTTGCGGTAAAATCCAGGCACTAAAAATATTCATGAGGGGCTTCTCCTTCACAGTTATGGACATTTCTTCCGATGAATGAAAATGTAATCGAGGACTGAGAGTTCAGTACAGTCAAAATGTGTTCAATCTTCAGTGACATGTGAGTATCATACTGTATGAATGTCAAACCAGTCATCACATCAGTACAGTAATGTGCTTATTCATTCTAGTTTTCGTCTTCAGCACTAACCCCTTAAAAAAACGACAAATAAAAGTAAACCAAATACTTCAGTAAAACAAACGGCTGAAAAATGTACAACATGAGATGGCAAATGATCCTGAAACAATGAAGCTGCCATGATGACATATGATTGTGGTCCCAGCCAAACTTACAAAGAAGAATTACTCCACATTTAATATATGTACAAGGAGTTCAGAGCTTATATTAATATGTAGATACAATACAGTTCTTCTTATATAAGGGTGTACAGAATATACAGTCTTGATGCCCAATGCTTTGCAACTGGAAAAAAGTACACAAGACGGCTTATTCTGTTTTATCCAGTTGTTTGTGTTTTCTGTAGTGCATTAGCCGATCTGAGCTACAGTACACATGACATATGGTTCAAACATTTTCTTATTTGGTAAACTATTTTACTTTTGATACATTTCTGATGTGTAAGCCAGTAGGGACCATCACAGGTGAATTGTGATTTTCCTAAGAGGATTTTCTTTCAATGGTCATTTGGCCTAAAGAAAATAAAACTTTTCTCTCTAAAAAAAACTAAAGAATGTAAAATGATTGTTATTTTCACCTTCTCTAATGTGTATTTTAATGGTGATTTAAACACATCGTCGTTAAGGGGTCTTTAATGGGATGGACATACTCCTGAAAGTGGACGGTTATATTACATTGAGCGTCTACATAGGAATAGTGATTACACGTTTTTTGGCAGATCTTCACAGATTTAGGCAGATGATGAAATCCTTATTATAAATCTCATGGACTTTTGAGACTCTGCGCGAAGTTAGAGTTGCAATGAAGCCTTAAAGTTGTATTCCAGCCTTTAAATTCTGCAGTCTATCACAGTTTGGAGACTCACAGGAGACACGTTTTAAAAAGAATGCTTCAAATAAAAATAACAGAGGCTTACATATCTTCATTTTTATTTTTAGTACGAGTCAAGGTTAAAAAACACCGGATCCTATATTTCCCATACTGCAAGTTAATGGCCTCTTTAGTTTATCGGCGTCAGATCCTTCCTGCCTATTAAATGCTCTTTTCTTTCCAAATCCTAAATTCACCAAACAGGGTTTCTGTTAGAAATGTGTTTCAAGTCCAATCTGAGGAAACTGATGAAATCATCAGGGTTCTTTTATCAGAATTTTAAAAAGCTTCCTCCTATTTTTACAGGTTGAATAGACTCCTCGTCTCAGGTGAATTCATCTGCTTATGTCAAATGATGCGCCCCTTCAACTTGAAGCATGTTTGCTTTGCAAACCGGTCTCTCATGTCCCCCTCAGCTATGTTTGTTACTGCACATCACACTACCCAAATGTTCGTATCCTGTTGACATCATTTGACAAAGAGAGAGGAGATTTAACTTAGTTTTAGGCTTCAGATATCCCTCTCAAGACGCAGATGCCATGTCCATTTTAGACTTACTATCTTCTTGGATATCACCACCAGACAGGTATGGAGTGACTGTACCATTGAATGAAAGCCAGTTTGTAAAAAAAAAGATGTTTCTGTCCATTCAAAATGAATAAAAAAGGTTCTGCTCCACATGGAAACCCAAACACTAAGGTAACCAGTGACAACACACACACACATTGATGGACCCCCGGTTGTCTATGGATATATCATATACTGCTGTTTGTCCGTATATCCTCGCTCCATAGAGCTTATGAATATATACATGTGCACATAAATCCTCTGGAAAGCAATGGGAAATGTAAGTGTGTGCAGGTACAGTCTCTGGCATGACACAGGAGCAGGAGCGCAGTGTTTACTCAGAAGTGATGTGTGTGAGTCAGTGTGTGCAGGTGTTCCAAGCACATCCTTGTGTCTGCCCTTCTTCACAGTTAGCGTGTCCCATGTCAGCCTGTTCACCTGCGCTTCTCCTCTTCCTCCTCCTAGAGGGCCTGCTCCGTGCTGGAGGCGGAGATGTCCAGGAGTCTCCAGGCTGCGCTGGGATTCAGCTCCTCCTGATCCCGACACAACGCCCAAACATACATCATCCTCATCACCTTCTCCTGTTGAGGGAGGAGGAGAGCACATGGTCAGTCTTGCACAGTATGGAGGCCTGCTCTAGACTTAAAGGTCTCCTATTATACTATTTTCAGGCATATATTATAGGTCTCAGATATATAAAATGTCTATGAAGTGTTTTGCTCAAAATACCAAACAGATCACCCGTTCTAGCCATGCCTCATACCCCTCTATTTCAGCCCTGTTAGAGAAGTGCTGATTCCGGCTCCGTATCTGAAACAGTATAGAGCTCAAATGCTTTCTCTCACGGGTTTACCACAAGGTGAGTTCCTTTTTATTTCCTGCTTCTTTAGGCAAGGCAAGTTTATTTATATAGCACTTTTCAACACAAGGCAATTCAAAGTGCTTTACAAAAAATGAAAGAGATTAAGAAAATGGCATTTAAAATCAGTCATTAAAAAGAAAAGCTAATAAAATATAAAAGTTACAGTGCAGTCTAAGATATGAATAGTTCAATTAAAAGCAGCGACAAAAAGAAAAGTCTTCAGCCTGGATTTAAAAGTAGTCAGAGTTGCAGCGGACCTGCAGGTTTCTGGGAGTTTGTTCCAGATATTTGGAGCATAATAACTGAACGCTGCTTCTCCATGTTTAGTTCTGACTCTGGGGACAGAAAGCTGACCAGTCCCTGAAGACCTGAGAGATCTGGATGGTTCATAATTTAGCAGGAGGTCAGAAATGTATTTTGGGCCTAAACCATTCAGTGCTTTATAAACCAGCAGCAGTATTTTGAAATCTATTCTTTGACACACAGGAAGCCAGTGTAAAGACTTCAGAACAGGAGTGATGTGATCCACTTTCTTAGTGTTAGTGAGGACTCGAGCAGCAGCGTTCTGAATTAGCTGCAGCTTTCTAATAGATTTTTTAGTGAGACCTGTGAAGACACCATTGCAGTAGTCGAGTCTACTGAAGATAAAAGCATGGACAAGTTTTTCCAAATCCTGCTGTGACATTAGTCTTTTAATCCTAGATATATTCTTTAGGTGATAGTAGGCGGATTTAGTAACTGTTTTAATGTGACTGTTGAAACTCAGGTCAGAGTCCATGACTACACCTAGATTTCTGGCTTTATCTGTTGTTTTGAACATTGCAGACTGAAGCTCAGTGCTAACTTTTATACGTTCTGACTTGGCTCCAAAAACCATTACCTCAGTTTTATCTTTGTTTAATTGGAGAAAGTTCTGACACATCCGGTGATTGATTTGTTCAATGCACCTACTCAGTGTTTGAATTGGAGCATAGTCTCCTGGTGAAATTGTTACGTACATTTGTGTGTCATCTGCATAGCTATGGTAACTTATTTTGTTGTTCTTCATTATCTGAGCCAGTGGTAGCATGTAGATGTTAAAGAGAAGAGGCCCCAAGATGGAGCCTTGAGGAACCCCACATGTCATATTTGTCCACTCAGATGTGTATTTACCTATAGAAACAAAGTTGTTTCTGTCCTTTAAGTAGGATTCAAACCAATTCAGAACTGTTTCCGAAAGTCCCACCCAGTTCTCCAGTCGGTCTAGTAATATGCTGTGGTCAACAGTGTCAAACGCAGCACTGAGATCTAATAATACTAACACTGAAGTTCTGCCACTGTCTGTGTTTAAGTGGATGTCATTAAAGACCTTTACAAGAGCAGTCTCAGTGCTGTAGTTTGGACGAAAGCCTGACTGGAACACATCCAAACAGTTATTTAAATGCAAGAAATTACTCAACTGTTGAAAAACAACTTTTTTTTTTTTTTTTTTTTTTTTACGAGCGGTTTAATGACTGCAGTTTTCAGTGCTTGTGGAAAAATACCTGAGTGAAGAGATTTGTTTACTATATGAAGTAGATCTGAGGCCATGCAAGGCAAAACATCTTTGAAAAATCCTGTTGGAATAATATCAAGGCAGCAGGAGGAGGATTTCAGAAGTTGAATAATGTCCTCTAGGTTTTTATCATTAATCTGATGGAATTGTGTCATGATGTCTGAATTGATGTTAAGTGGAGATAGGGACAACACATTTGCTGTTCCTGATGCAGAGGCACTGACTGCTTGTCTGATTTTCAGAATTTTGTCAGTGAAAAAGGAGGCAAAATCATTGCACGCCCTGGTGGATAGAAATTCAGAGGCTACTGACACTGGGGGGTTAGTTAGTCTGTCGACGGTAGCAAACAAGGCACGTGCGTTGTTTTTGTTTTTGGTAATGATGTCAGAGAAGAACGATTGTCATGCGTTTTTCAATTCCAAATTATAAAGGCCAAGTCTCTCTTTATAGATTTCAAAGTGAACCTGGAGATTTGTTTTTCGCCACCTGCGTTCAGCTTTTCGACATTCTCTTTTTTCTGTTTTCACGGTCATGGCCTTTCTCCATGGAGATATTTTCTTGCCAGACACTTCCTTTAACCTAGTTGGAGCAATGGCATCTATAACATTTTTAATTTTTTAATTAAAATGATCTACTAGCTCATTTACTGAGATGTTAGCAGGGGCAAGTGTGGAAGAGAAATTCTGAGTAAACATTTCCCTAGTATTTTCAGTTAAACATTGCTTTGTGGTTACCTCTTTTTGAACATTTTTGTGAACAGAAATAGAGCTCTCAAAGAAAACACAGGAATGGTCAGAGAGTGCAACATCAGTCACCACAACCTTAGAGATATTCAGACCCTTTGAGATAATTAAGTCCAGAGTGTGCCCCTTATTGTGCGTGGGCTCCGTCACATGCTGAGTCAGTCCATAGCTATCAAGAACACAAAATAGTTCTTTAGCCCCTCTGTCTTGGGGGTTGTCAACATGGATGTTAAAATCACCAACAATGACTAGACGGTCAAAGTCAATACACACTATAGACAGCAGTTCAGTAAAGTCATCAAAAAAGCTTGCACAGTATTTGGGTGGTCTATAGATATTTAGGAACAGAGCTCGAGAGGAGCATTTCAGCCGAAGGGCCACATATTCAAAAGAAGCAAAGTTCCCATAAGATGTCTTCCTGCATTGAAGGGAATCATTGAACAGAATAGCAACTCCACCTCCTTTCTTATGCATTCTTTCCTGACTCATAAAACTAAAGTTGGGAGGGGTTGATTCGATAAGAACAGCTGCACTGTTATTCTGTTCAATCCAAGTTTCTGTTAAAAACATAAAATCGAGATTGTGCTCAGTGATAAAATCATTGATTAAAAATGTTTTTCCTGCCAAAGACCTGACATTTAATAAAGCTAGTTTAAGTTTGTTAAACACACTATCAGTCATGTTTTTTGTAACAAGCTGTGGCTGACATGGAATCACTGCTAAATTAGATACACTCACACAAACGTTTGAGCGCTTCCTGTTTCTATGATTCACCGCTCTTAATCTATTACCTATCAACACAGATATCGGCAAAGCTACTGGCAGGCAGGGCCCCGGCATGTCCTGGAAAGAGTTGAGAGTGCCATACGCCCTTGAGCCTGGACCCATCACATATCAGTAAGAGTTTGTTGTGTTTTGTACACACACATCCTTATCAGGCTTCGGAGACTGCAGATGCCCCCTGCAGATACACATACTCTCTCCAGTACAGCGTTAGCTCTGAGTGTTAGCGATGCTTGCTAATGTAAACAAAGACCATATTACTTTCAAAAAACGTCACGCATTGTTTCTGATAAAGCGGCGTTTCTGATAGGCCCGTGGGCCTAAAGCCAGCCCACATTTCCAATATTACGTCATGACCGCAGCAAATCTGGATCAGCTCCGTTGTACCCCCGTTTTTAGAGATTTGGGTACGGAGGAAAAGAGAGAGGGTTGTATTTTCTGACACTTTCTGAGTCACCTTACACCCCGTGCACATATATTCATGTATACAAGACATCAAAAAGTGCATTTTGCATGATAGGAGACCTTTAAAGGGAGGGTTTGTCTGTTGTGAACTGGAGTGGTATGAGGGGCTGCTTATCTTTAGTAAATATGTTCCCTAGAGTAGAAGAATATAGTAAATATAAGTATCTCATACATCCCCACTTCAAAACATTAAAACTAGTCCTATCGCTACATCAAACCTGTGAAATTCAAAGTCATACATTCAGATGCAAACTGAGAACTGAGAAAACTCTGCTTAACTGAGCTCCTTTCAACCATTTCAGTTGTTTGGGTCCTTGAAATAACTTATATCAGATGTTCTATTCATGTGCAGTTGATGAGGAGTTTACTGACCGGATCTCCTTCCACAAGGTCTCCTTTGGGGCTGCGGATCACCATGACGACCTGCGCCTGGAAGGTGATGATCAGCACTGGGCCCTGGTCCATCATCTTACCCATCGCTAGCTACATCACAGGGAGAGACAACAAACACACTCAATACATTTGAAGGAAACATTTAACATCAGGTATTAAATGATATGATACCAATCAGATATCATCTTTTTCCACATCTTAGAAAAGCTGTTGATAAATCATTTGTATTGATGCAATACATGACTCATTTATTCAAACGGCTGCTTCTTTTTAACTCTTTAAAAGCAATATTTAAGCAAAATGTGGTGAAATGTCTTATAAACTCAAAGGATTTTTAATTCCAGTGTCAAATACTCGACAACTCAACAATCATTTTAGCCTATACCTCAATGACGGCTAATGAACAAGCACTTACATCTATGTTATCAATGTCCAGGATTTTGGACTGGAAGAGCAGCCCCAGAGCTCTGGCCTGCTGGATGGGGTGAGCCAGCTGACTGTACGTCTGAGGAAGGGCAAGGAAAACACGTTTAGCATAAGAATGGACTTTCACACACACTACTATACAAGATATATAACAGCATAAAGAAGTCGGAATGAAATACAAATAATGGTTTATTATGTTAGAGTTTAATGAAATTCAAAATGTAGGAGGCAGCAGTATGTTACTCACAGCTTCATAGCACCAGTCTTTTAATACATCCAGCTCTCCACGGATCATAGCCTGAGGAGAGGACAGAGACACTGTGTCAACAATGATTGTTTACAACAGGAGAGGGCATTTCACAAAGCCAGGGAGACAGTAAACACATTTTATTTGGTTAAATCCTGCCTGTTTCTATTGTTTTGTCAGAATCAGAATCAAGTTTATTGCCAGGTACGTTAAAAAAGGATGCTAAAGACAAGTATTTACACAAAATGTAAATGTAACAACAAAATTAAAACACTTATAGGACAATGAGTATATATGGCAAAATCACAGTGTTTCCCACAGATCTGAACTATACTTGGGGGGGGGGGGGTTGAGGTGACGTGCCTTTGTGACGTGCAACAACATTAACATTTCTGTTGGTCGCTTGTTAGCAGACTCTTCACGCGATGGCAGAGCGAACAGGTACAGGCAGGGCTCATAGTGACAGCCCTATAGTTTAAATCTACTACCCACAAATAACCATATGGGCATGGGTTACTATTTTTTTTTTTTTTTTTTTTTAAAATGGTAAATGTATTTAGGAACCTATCCATGTGATTTTAAGTGGGGGTGGACCTCAAATCCTCTAGGGGGGTCCGAGGGCATGCTCCCCCGGTAAAATGCATCAATCTGGTGCACTTTGAGGGGGAAATAAAGAGACTAGATCTATGGAAACACCCATATGAAACAGAACTGTATTAGGGATGTTAAGATTCACCGATTCGCATCGGTGCACCGGCATAAACGTTCAGGATGCGAGTGCACCGGTTGAAAGAGTGCACATCGTCTACAGTTTGGGTTGAACTCGCGATGCATCGATTGTATCTTTGCATCGGTACAAAACCGATTCATTCATATAATATCCCCTCATCCTGTCAGCACTCAGCAGAGACGATCTTTGATCTTTGCTTCGCACTACGGAGGCCGAGAGTCTCAGTTATCAACACACATGGAGGTCGAAGAGAAACACAGCGCACCGGAAAATACCAACAAATCAAACGTTTGGCAACACTTCGGATTTTTCAAGAAAGACGGTCAACTTGAAAAATCGCTCGCAAATTGTAAACGATGCCGTGCCGCTTTAGTACGAGGAATTTAGCGACGCACATAAAGAGGCGACATGGGGTCTGCGGCTGAAAAGAGAAACCTGAAAGTTAGACATATGAGTTAAATCACTCAGTGAGGTGTTCTGTCAGAGAGAGTGGTGTTTAGTTTACAGCAGCCTGTGACTGCCAACAATAGTTTACATGTCTTCCTTACTGTAAGCAGTTATGAAATACCTGTTTGTGAAAGGTTATTTGTATTCTTTATTGTTCATATAGAAACCACTGCTTTCTGCTCACTGGTGAGTTAGCCTATGGATGAGTGTTCAGCACATCAGGCTGGCAGCTGTATGGGCATGGCACTATGGTAGCTGTTATTTGCACATTGTTAATCATGGCAATGCATCCTTACATTGTTTAACTGTGAGGTGTTATACAATTGTACTCTGGAGAGGTTTTTAAGGTAAAAAAGGTATAAAAAAAAAACAGCATAATGGGATGTGCAGTACTAGTAGAGAGAACCAAATATGCAAAGCACTTTTTTGTTAATTTATGATTTGCTGCATATAAGGAAAACAACTAAAATCCTCTGTTGTACCATAGAAGTATCATTATTTTGCATCGTGTTGAATCGCATCGTATCGCCCCGTATCGCATGTTGATCAAATCGTATCGAACTGTATCGCAACAGGGGTGAATCGTATCGTATCGCATCGCCTGGTGTTTTAAATGTATCGTTAATGTATCGTATCGTGGCAACGTATCGAGATGCGCATCGCATCGGCCTCAGTGATGGAGATGCACATCCCTAAATTGTAAACATTTCAATAATCATAAAATCATGGCCATAACCAATAACATACCTTTAATTTAATTTGATCGCATGTTGTTGATGTTTTTAATGATGTCAGGACTTATGTCCTAAATGTTGCTGTATTATTGTTGTATTATTGTTGTATTGTTTTAAGTGTCGGACCCCAGGAAGAGTAGCTTTTGTCGAGAGCAAAAGCTAATTGGGATCCTTAATAAACATAAACATACCATTTCCAATATGAAAAAACACTGAAACTTGTTTATTTATTTTTGGTTCATTTATAGTTGTGAGTGTGTCTCGGCTCCTGAACCAGCCTCTCCTGTCTCCCTCCTCTCCCCCCTGCTCCTCTTTGAGGCAGCAGCAAATACTAGTTTTAGCTCTCAACAAGTTTTAAAAGTGTATCTTGCCTTTTTTCACCTACTTAACTTTTTTATTTTTTATTCATGCATATTTTACTAATCACTCCCCCCTCAAATGGAAATATGTGTTTACATAAATGGTGACCAAACCGTTTGAGACCCACTGAGAACTTAGACTAAGTTAACTATCTAAACACTCAGAGTCCTTTACCTCACCTGAGCTGAGGTTATCCCGAGCTTGAATGACACACAGAGACCAATCAAGGGCTTTGATTTATGATCTGTATGACAGTGGCCATGTCGGCCACATCATGTAGACAGCCAGTCACCCTGTGTGAGGCAGGCCACTTAACAGGCCAGGCCATCGGGAAGCCCCCCGGTCCTCCCGATGGCCAGTCCTGGACTGGGTACAGGAGGCGTAGAGCGAGGGATCATTGTCCACAAGTTAATCAATCGCAGATGGCGTCGTGATCGCGGACGAAAAAACAAAAACTAAATGGGTCGCGAAATATACTCGGGCGGCCGTTAATATAGCTGGGCGGCCCCCCGCCCAAGTATAGTCTGTGTGGGAAACCCTGTATTATATTTTAAAGTGGAGGGTTGTGCAGACATGTGTGCAAAAATGTGCAAAATGCAGTCAGAGAGTAGAGCATGAACATGGCTCACAGTATTAAGAAAGAAAAAAGAGGAAAAATAACAAGATGTAGTTCACATGATGATCATTAATGTAATGTAATTGTGTGTTTAAAGACAGCCCATTGCGCCAAATTCAGTGTGATTAGACAACTGTAGACCACATCACTCTGATTTGGCTTCCCATTGATTGGTAACCTAAATAATTAGCTAGAAATGTATGTGCTTTTAACTCATCATCAACTCTTGACCATGAAGGACGTAAGCATTCGTTTAATGTTTTCTCCAATCAATAATCAAAAGGACTTATTTAGCTGCTGAGCATGCTTGGACATATTAAAAAATCTGACAGTTCCAACCTGACTTTACTCATTCTAACACAAATGACTTACTTAATCTGATCTAAACTGGAGTAAAATTACAAATGTAATGAAGTAAGACACTTCATCAGTAATTATTTTCTTGGTTGTCTTCCTGAAATACCCTCAGGTATTGTGAAAGAGAGTGTGAATGAAGAAGTTCAAAAGTCAAGGACACACTGACAGAGTAGAAGAGTCTATTTACCTCCAGTATGTTCGGAATGATGTCTTTCTCACACTGTTTGAGGAAAATGTCTTTATCAAAAGTGGGGTCAGCCTTCACAATCTCCGTCAGCACCTCCGACATTTCTGTCTTAGAGAACAGACCGCCTGGAAAACAAACACTGACAAAATCAACATCAGCAACACAAACAAATCAGTCTCTACTATAGATAGGATGTTAACAACTATACGTTTATAACCCAAGTCTATGCTTTTCCAATTCCTTCATTTGTCTATAAAACATGCTGTGACAACATGAAGCATGCATTTCATTCTTTACCGCTCAGTTAGGAGAGTGGAGCTGGTTTAATCACTAGAGTCAACCATCATAACATGGCTTATGAAGGTGGAGAAAATCCCTTGAATGCACTGGACAAAAGCTATTTCCTTAAACTGCAGATATTGTTATTTTTGTGATAGCTAATATAGTTTAAATAAGCAAACATGACTTCTTGTTTGATCAATCTGACTGTGGAAATTGCCAAAGTATATGAAAGGTCATGTTTTATTCTGTTTAGAGAGCAAAGTATCCATAACATAGAGATTAATTTAGCCAAAATAATCCTATAAAATATTATGATAATGATAAGAAACCTAAAATGAACACAAACTAATGCCGGGCATTACCTAGGAATCCAGTGACAGTGTCAGTCACAGCTCTGGATGCTCTGACGACCGCATTGTCACTCTCATCATATTTCATCTTAATATCAAAGAATCCTGTAGGAAACACAAAGGGAGAAATGGAGTAAATGTTTTTCAGTGGTTAGGTAGGATGGAGAAAAAGATCACAGAGGGCTCTATGTATGGTCTGGTTAAAAACACCATTTCTAAACGGTTCAAATGTATAATGCAGTGTAGTGTAGAGAATGTGGTGCCATCTGCTGCCTTTAATGGGAACTACTCATGTGCACAATGTAGGTGATTTATTATATAACACAGTATCTAAGAAGATAAACACTGAGGATTTCCTTACTGTTAAAAACGACATTATTGTCCTTAAAGTCCTGCCACTGCTGGTACCACTTTGAATCCTTGTGGAGAACGACACCCATATCCTCCCTGCATCACAGAATACAAGAAAATCACTCTTATCATTAGAGATGTTAACAACATAAATACGGAGCATACATTCCAAATGGAGATGTGTGATTACAGAACAGGTGAGAGGGGACACAGGTTTGACTCACTCATTGGCATCGAACACTCTTGTGTCGCCGTCTGCTCCTTTGGAGGAGAAATCGCTCCTCTTCCTCAGGTGTGGGGGGGCTCTGTAAGAGCCGTCATCCCCGACATCTATCTCATTTTTCATGGACTCCACACCCTGCACAGATCACACACACACGTGTATAACTGGACTTTACTGGACATGTATATATATATATATATTCACCTGATAAGCTGAACAACTGCAGTCTTTCTGTTTAGAGCTTAGATTTAAAAGTACATTTCTCCCAATGGTCTGACATCGTTCAGTGGTTTGCTTAACAAGCTCCTGGAGCTGACAGGCCAGAACTACATTACCCTCTGATATCTACTATTTGAGATCATAGTGGTTTTTCTCAATATTTATCTTTACATTTCAACCTGTTAACTCATTTGCAACAGATCCAGGAAAATATTGTCGTCATTTGAGAAACAAAATGAACAAAAAACCAAACCGTTTGGCTGTGGTAATTATGTTTCATTCTAAATGAACGCTGACATTAGTTTGCGAATGTGTGAGTGACTTGATTGGCACAGCAAGAACTTTGGCCCATAAACCACTGCTTAGTATTATCTTTCTGCATCTAAAAATAGTAGAGATTATTATTATTATTATTGTCCTTTTGAAGGTGAACCTGTAAACGTATGGATATTGTGTTTTCTCTTCTGACCTGTGAGATGGCCCTAAATGCACCGGTTTTGCCCAGTTTTTCTCCTCCTTTGGACACAGACTCTGCAGAGTGCATTGCTGACTTGGCAGCCCCCTCCACACTTTCCTTGATCCTCTTCCCAATGTCAGTACGAGTTACTTCCTCAAGACCCTAAAGACCAGAATGTGAGACATCAGACACACACGAAAACAAATCAACACAAATGCAATTATTCAGTCCATAAAAGTGCCTTTCCAGAAACTTAGTGTAACCTTTTTTCTGATTACCGTTCTATTGGTAAACCAGAGGAAGTGCTGAAACCTTACCTCCTTGACGGTCTCCGACAGAGATCCAAAGGTTTTCTTAAACACCTCGGAAGTCTTCACTGTCTCAGACTCTATAGATTTCTATTAAAGAAAAAGAAATACATATTATTATATATATATATATATATATTATTCAAAGATAATTGTTATCGTCTAATATAAGAGAGATTGAAAACCAAATATTGCTCTCACATATTTCCTGCGGGCTTGTTGGAGAGCATCAGACTCGTCAAGCCGCTTGGCCTCTTCTCTGAACTTCTTTATGTTGTCTTTCATATCCTGATTCTTGTTGAATTCCTGACGCAGGTTATCCACAAACTCTCCCAGAAAACCTTTACGACCTCCGGAAGCATATCGAACCTAATGAGATAAACAGAAAAGAGGACATTAGTTCAACAGAGTGAACAGATCATTAACATACAGTATTTGCTCTATTTAGTAACTAACTATGAAAACATCACTTCTTACCTAAAATGTATTCTTGAGAGTAACACAAACAACTGAGCAGCTTCTTTGATGTAATTAACAATGTGTATGTGTGCTTTAAAGGTAACGGTAGCAGTCAGTGTGTACCTGCACAGTTGCAGCTGGACTCCTGTGTAGCGTGTAGGCGTCTCCTCTCCACACTGAGGGGACCAGAGGCCGGGAGCAGAGGGCCACGGCCCGTCGGCCAACCAGCTGCAAGGGACAGAGACTGTGAGTAACAAACAACTCTGTGGACACTGCAGTGGATGGAGAATAAAGATGCGAATAAGGAATATTTTCACTAACAATTATGTGGGCAGTTCTTTTTCTTGGAAATCATTGTATGTATAAAATGCCAGAAAATAGTAAAAAGAAAATCCCAGTCGATGTCCAACGTGATTACTTTAAATGATTTGCTGGTCTAAAACAGAAACATATTCTCCTTAATATTATGTAAAACTGTGAACATCTGGAAATCTTCATACATTATTGCATTAAAATTGACAATAACGATTAATCGATTAATAAAATAGCAGTACAATTTTGTTCTGACAGTGAACTAATCAAATAGTCAACTAATCGTTGCAGCTCTAATAGAGAATAGGTAACAGGTTAATGGAATACTAATGAGTTAAGCCCTCACAGTAATATTGAATAAAGAAATCAAATACACTGAACATAAATATAAATGCAACACTTTTGTTTTTGCTCCCATTTTTCATGAGATGAACTCAAAGATCTAAAACATTTTCTATATACACAAAATAACCATTTCTCTCAAATATTGTTCACAAATCTGAAAAAATCTGTGATAGTGAGCACTTCTCCTTTGCCGAGATAATCCATCCCACCTCACAGGTGTGTCATATCAAGATGCTGATTAGACAGCATGAGTATTGCACAGGTGAGCCTTAGGCTGGCCACAATAAAAGGCCACTCTGAAACGTGCATTTTTATCACACAGCACAATGCCACAGATGTCGCAAGTTTTGAGGGAGCGTGCAATTGGCATGCTGACAGCAGGAATGTCCACCAGAGCTGTTGCCCGTGAATTGAATGTTCATTTCTCTACCATAAGCCGTCTCCAAAGGCGTTTCAGAGAATTTGGCAGTACATCCAACCGGCCTCGCAACTGCAGACCACGTGTAACCACACCAGCCCAGGACCTCCACATCCAGCATGTTCACCTCCAAGATCGTCTGAGACCAGCCACTCGGACAGCTGCTGCAACAATCGGTTTGCATAACTAAAGAATTTCTGCACAAACTGTCAGAAACCGTCTCAGGGAAGCTCATCTGCATGCTCGTCGTCCTCATCGGGGTCTCGACCTGACTCCGGTTCGTCGTCGTAACCGACTTGAGTGGGCAAATGCTCACATTCGATGGTGTCTGGCACGTTGGAGAGGTGTTCTCTTCACGGATGAATCCCGGTTTTCACTGTTCAGGGCAGATGACAGACAGCGTGTGTGGCGTCGTGTGGGTGAGCGGTTTTCTGATGTCAATGTTGTGAATCGAGTGGCCCATGGTGGGGTTATGGTATGGGCAGGCGTATGTTATGGACGACGAACACAGGTGCATTTTATTGATGGCATTGTGAATGCACAGAGATACCGTGACGAGATCCTGAGGCCCATTGTTGTGCCATTCATCCACGACCATCACCTCATGTTGCAGCATGATAATGCACTGCCCCATGTTGCAAGGATCTGTACACAATTCCTGGAGGCTGAAAACATCCCAGTTCTTGCATGGCCAGCATACTCACCGGACATGTCACCCATTGAGCATGTTTGGGATGCTCTGGATCGGCGTATACGACAGCGTGTTCCAGTTCCTGCCAATATCCAGCAACTTCGCACAGCCATTGAAGAGGAGTGGACCAACATTCCACAGGCCACAATCAACAACCTGATCAACTCTATGCGAAGGAGATGTGTTGCACTGCGTGAGGCAAATGGTGGTCACACCAGATACTGACTGGTTTTCGGACCCCCCCAGACCCCCCCAATAAAGCAAAACTGCACGTTTCAGAGTGGCCTTTTATTGTGGCCAGCCTAAGGCACACCTGTGCAATAATCATGCTGTCTAATCAGCATCTTGATATGCCACACCTGTGAGGTGGGATGGATTATCTCGGCAAAGGAGAAGTGCTCACTATCACAGATTTTTTCAGATTTGTGAACAATATTTGAGAGAAATGGTTATTTTGTGTATATAGAAAATGTTTTAGATCTTTGAGTTCATCTCATGAAAAATGGGAGCAAAAACAAAAGTGTTGCATTTATATTTTTGTTCAGTGTACGAGACAAGCGGGCAAAGCAGGAGTCATGTTGTTGTGATGATACTTCTAAGGATCACATATACTATTTGCTAGGTGTCAGGGGTTCACCAACCAGGTGACAAGTAAAACCGTAACAGATGGTTGAAACTACAAACAAAACTTTGCATCCAGCTTGTTACTAAGATGTGGTCAACCACAAGCCTCTAGAACAGCTGTGCCCTTAGAAAGACACTTTGTTGTTTTTCTGATGCAATCCCTCCCTATACATGTCACAGGATGCTTACTTAATTCACGAAGAAGTACACCTGTTTGGCAAATTCTGTATTTTGTATGCTTCTCAATTAATATATTCAGCTTTTACATTGATGTGTGTCTCCTGTCTGAATCTGCATCAGTAGGGGGTTTAAATATTATAGGTCAAATGTAGACACTGTTGTTCTATTTGTGCCAGTGTTACACTTATGTGACCCAAATAGGAATTTCCCATATGTTGAGTTGTTACTGCTAATGTTTTAAATTAACAAATTAGACATTATGACATGTAAAACATGTTAGTCGTTATGACATGTTAAAACCTTTAACATGTCATAATCTATCTAATCTAATCTAGATGAGTATTACAGGAGATGGAGCACGAGTTGTAATTAAATAAATCACATTTTGATAGCATGACAGCAAAAAAAGACCTGCCTGTAAAGCACCAACACCTAAACTGATAGTATTTGGTCGACAATTTGGTCTTTTTATTGTTGTTGTTGTTGTTGATATATATCTTTAATATGATAAAAACCATTGGCAGTGGCACTGTTATTCTTAGCCATGTAACAAACTATGATGAGTCACATCATTTGGTGTAAAACCAGGATTAACGTTAGTTACTTAAAAATGTGAAGATATTATACCACCTTTATAACGCTAGTTACTTCATCAGGAGATTATACCATTAGTATTAACGCCTGTTTATAACTGAACGATGGGTCAGTATCTGGCTATATCTATGCGTCTAAAAGGCTTGCTTTTATACCACATTTTGGCGAATTAAAGCCCATATACACAGACATTTTCCCACCAAGAAACCCAAAAGAAGAATATAATTTTAGAGAATGATAGGTGAACAAGAACATTGAGAACCCGCAGTCCGTCTGATGCAACAAGGCCTTTTCTAATGGACATGGACACACTACGAAATCTCACTCACAAACCAGACATTAGAAATAAGTAACTATTAGCCGTATACTTCTACTCCCTTTGCACAGTTATTCTCTAAACACTTAAAACCTGTAATGAAGGACATGAATGGTTGTCTAACCTCGTAGCACCGACACACGGAGGCTGCCATCTTGATCTTCAAATGCGCCGAGCTGGAGCTACACGTGCGTCCTTGCTGCAGCAGCTGACCTTCCTCTCAGCCAATAGGAGCGCAGCTGAAGGGCTGGGGGCGGGGCCAGCTGTCAGCATCACTGTAAAGGGAGAATCCACCCTAAAAACAAACTACATTGTGCTTTTTATTTGACATTGCCCACAAACTGAGTGGCTGTGCAGGTTAACACATGCTAAATGTGCAAGCTCAGTTATGATTTAGACTAGAGCATATCCCAATGTATCACAGTTGTAGTGTAGGCTTCATGGTGTTCGCAGAGGAGACTTGCATTTTATTTTAAACATTGTCACCACTGTATCGTAAAAAAACAACAACGTATAAACTACTAAATATCTCTTTTAGTTTTTTTCATCTTATTAAGTAACTGTTTGTAATTTAAATTCCAATCTTTAAAAAGTCTGCTGTCTGTGAGTAAACATAGTTTTTATAGCTGGAGAATTTCCTCATGTATAAATACACAGCAGACTGACAAAAAGCACAGAAAAAGCTAAACATAAAGACTTAACAGAAAAATAAAACGTAAAAATAACGAACAATAATAGAAAAACGGACTATGACAAAAGTATGACACTTGTTAGGACTTCCAAGTTGTATCTGTTGTATATTGTCATTTCAGGTATCCTTTTTTTATAATAAGGCTATTCGCCTCCATTTTCTTTCATGCTTCCTCATTTTGTATTCCCTTATAACCAAATGCAACTGATTATATTCATTTTCTTTCCAGTCTTGTATTCAGTCTCTGTGTAGTACAGAACAACTCCACCGTGACATTACTATTAACCTCTTAAGTATGGTTCATTAAAATAACTCAGTGGTTTCAGACTCACTGTTGGCCTTGAATGTATTAAAGCTTTATAACACTGGGGTAACACACTGCTGCTTCTGAAATACAGTTCTTATTATCTTTATAGGCTATATGTTAAAGATAATCAGAATCAAGTGCATTGCCCTGGTACGTTTACACATACAGTAGCCTACAAGGAATTTGCTTTGGTATCTGGTGGTGCGAAAATAAACAGTCTAAGAAAATATGAAGTAATAGTAGGCAAACAAAAGAAACCTAAGGATAATAAAAAATAAGTATTTTTAAGAAACAATTTAGCATAAATATATATATAAGATAACATACATTTTATTGATCCCAAATTAGGAAATGTTTTCGTTGCAGCAGCATATAAAAACAGGGCATTGCACATACATCTATCTGACAAATAGAATACTATTGAAGGGCCAAATAACAGCTAACCCAATATAAAAGTGGGATATTATTCACATTAAGTGAGCAAAGAATGGCAAGGAATTTAAATGTAACATTTTCTTTAAATAACTATTGTAAAAACACCACACAATGTTTTTGGAAAACCAACCTTCTACAGGTGAAGTTACCTTAAGGATGGCCTGACTTGGTCATTATTTACATTCAGATGGATGTTGTCTCCCGGCATGCCGCAGAGCGCCCCCCTGCGGCAGCTATGTGAACTGCAGGACTCCTCCCCTCCCGCCGCAGAGTTGGAGCTCTCTTTCTGCGTCCAGCTCGCATTGACAGCCAACACTGGCGCAGAGTCTCAGCGCAAACCTTTACCATATTTTCCTGACACAAAACGACATTTCATAGCAATACTTTCCACACATTCTCTTCCGGAGACAAGCGTCGGAGCGGCCTCGTCTAGAATGGGGAACCGAGACGATGAATACGATTTCTTGTTCAAAGGTAAAGAAAAAAAAGACGACTTGCATTCCCCCTTAACACAGACTCACACCGACAAATCTATTCTTTAATAACACCTAAACATCTCTTATTGTGTCATTTTCACTCACCAGTTATGCATTTTCTGAGGAAACAGACTAATGTTTTCCCAGAAACTGCCCGGATGATAGTCGGTTGGGGTTATTACAACATAATGCTGTCATTGTAACATTACAACGCCTGCAGCTATATGTATAGGTAGGATGCAACACCCTATCCGTGCTCTGCCTTTGTATTAAACTTTCATCAACTCGTAGAGCAGCATTGGTGTTGTGGACGAACAGCTTCCTTCTTTATTTAATGACATCTGATGTTGTATTCCTCCCTATGGGGTTTATTAAGGGCCTATTAGCCATACCTCTCCTGATCAATAATCGTTATTCTCACATAATGACTCTGAAAATGCTGCAACTCATAACTTTGCGTGCCAGTGTTATTATGGTATGCCCTTTGGTTTATGGATGTTAATGTGCCACAGGAGCTGATATCACGATCAAAGGAAGTCATTCTGGACGATCAAAGGAAGTCATTCTGGACGAGCACTGAAGATAAACATGGACATGAGTCTGGTACCAACTGATCGTTAGTCTGGTACTAACTGATCGTTAGTACCAGACTCATGTCCATGTTTATCTTCAGTGCTCGTCCAGAATGACTTCCTTTGATCGTGATATCAGCTCCTGTGGCACATTAACATCCTGGGCCTGCATAAACCAAAGGGCCATTTAGATGTAACAAAGTATCCTCTGTGGGATGAATGGGGCATCTGCCGGAGGCTCTCTCTCTCTCCTCTCTCTCTCTCTCTCTCTCCTCTCTCTCTCTCTCTCTCTATCTCTCTCTCTCTCTCTCTCTCTCTCTCTCTCTCCTCTCTCTCTCTCTCTCTCTCTCTCTGCCCGAGCCATCGTCGGCGTAACCGGCCGAAACAGGAAGGGCAAGGCGGCTTGAAACTGTCGATTCAGGTTTTGATGAAGCCTGTTATCAGCTTCCTGCAGCCCGGACCAGTGCGATGCCGACAAGGGACAAAGTTCGGCTCAATTTCCTGTTGTCGAGGGAGAGAAAACAAAAAGACTCCACCTCTGCTACATGTGAACAGAAGCTCAGCACAGGTCCACGAGCCCCATCAATCACTCATCTGACAGCTCTGATTGAGACAATGCAGAACAACAAGGCCTGATAAACAAAATCATTATTTTTGTTTACAAAGTGGATGCTATTGTAGATTGTTAGACCTGGTTCTTCTCAAGTTAAGTTTTCAATATAAAAGTCCCATTATTTACAGTATAGGTTTTTTATAAACAGAGGTTTCATATTCTCTTGCACTAGTTTATCTGTTGTATTTGTTCTATGTCCTATGACTGTTGGAGGAGCCTGTGACCTAAGTTTTTCATTGCCATATCTACACTAGCTAATGTGCAAATGACAATAAAGCCTTGAAACTTGAATATTCAGTTCATTTTTATATATATCTTGAATCTGCAAATATAGAAATAAGGATTTAAATGAGGGATAGGACAAAACATTGGTAAAGCTGGGGTATAAGCAGTCCATAAACTCAATATCAGCACCCCAGCTGTTTGTGCAAGATTATACTCTTATTTTGAAAGGCCAGGAGTCTATCGAGCGTTAGAACGATTAACGAAGCACTTTTATACCAATAAAGGACTGGATTACCTAAAGCCAGTTGAGTAGCACTTGAAATGTTTGGCTCTATGAAACCTGATATACTTATATGATTCTGTTTTCTTCAAGGTTGTGTCTTCCTGGTCGAATGTACTTATTGTAAGTCGCTTTGGACAAAAGCGTCAGCTAAATGCAATGTAATGTAATGTAATGTCTATATTGAAGCAACAGTGTTGATTGAAGATGCAGGCTCAACAGTTAATCGTCGTTTGTTCAGCCGAGCATTTACTGCTCAGTGAAAATGCTCTCCATTATTCACCTCTTCTGTGGCTCTGCAGAGAACCATCAGCAGCTAAAGCACCTCTTTATTTACTGGATGGTCCTTCAGGTGCTTCCAGGCTCTAATTGTTGTTGGGCTTGTTTGACAGCAGTAAATAAATAACCGTTCCTCTCCATGGTCCTGGGTAGCTGGCTCTTACAGACTGTGGTTCTCTACAGTGACACCCAAACTGTCTGGAAAACAGTTCAACTAAAATAATGGTTGTTGATTATGTGGTTGATTATCAGACAGACAGTTCATTGTTGCTTATTGTACACCACAAAACACAGACATGATCAAACAATGTATAGTTGTTTTGTTGTCACATGTTGGAAATGAGAAACCAATTCAAATGTTTTTTTTTTAAACAAATTAATTACAAAACAATACTCCTGAAATGAATTTAAATTAGAAAGGCACTATTGCATTGTAATACCACCGTTTTGTTTTGTCTCAACCTTTAGTTGTATTGTGTTCCTCCTCTAATTTGCATACACACACACACTCGCACACACACACACACAGCCCCAGGGTTCTTTTTAAACCAACGTTTAGAAACGCTGCTTTATGCACGATCAACATTTTTTGGAGGTTCTATTAATTACATTGCCCCTACTGTTCCTAACACACACACACACACACACACACACACACACACACACACACACACACACACACACACACACACACACACACACACACACACACACACACACACACACACACACACACACACACACACACACACACACACACACACACGCACACACACACACACACACACACAGAGTACAACATGTAGTCTCATCTTTTCCCTCCCTCCCTTCTTCTCTTTTCCTCAACAGTTGTGTTAATTGGGGACTCGGGCGTAGGGAAGAGCAACCTGCTTTCTCGATTCACACGAAATGAGTTCAACCTAGAGAGTAAGAGCACCATCGGGGTGGAGTTTGCCACGCGCAGCATTCAGGTGGACGGCAAGACGATAAAGGCTCAGATCTGGGATACAGCCGGGCAGGAGCGCTACAGAGCCATCACCTCAGCGTGAGTCTGTGAGCTGCTGTTCGTCCTTAATCCTTCAGACTACATCACCTAAAATGGGGCAGACTTATATATGTGTTGTACAAGAACGAGTTAAAGAGGAAGATGGCACTTTCAATCAATTATTCGCCTATACAGCTCAGCAAAACTTGAGCCAACAGCTTCAATATTCTTGAGTGAGACACAAAACTCCCGGCTGCCCTCTAAATGCAAATGCAAATCTAAGTGCATCTGATAAATGTCAAACATGTGAAATGTAATTTCAGAGCATTGGAAAGCGAACATTTACTTTAACCTTTATATCTCACATAGAATTGAATTACAAACCACAAAAGAAGTAG